CAGTCACCCCCAAAATGTTCATAACCAAACATCTGACCCTCCTTCTTAAATAACTGATAAACAATAACCCATAGTCAACCCAATTCTTCAAAAGCAGAGACCTATGCTTGAAACAGATATACTGATTAATATGATGTCTTTATGAGGGGAGAAATTGTGTTTATAAACTAATGTCCAGCATAAGAGTAATTGTTTATGAAAATCAGATAATTTAATAGGAAGTTTTTCTATTTTGTAATTACACCTTAAAAAGTTGAGGCCACCCAAGGTGTTAAATATATGTGTGGAAATACAATTCCAAATTGAGTTTGGATTTATTAAATATCTTTTTATCCATTTAATTTTGAAGGTAGAGTGTAAGGTATTAAAGTCTAAGACACTAAAACCACCTGAAATGAGTCTGTTAACCAAAACATTCTTCCTACTAAGATGAGATTTTTTTTCTTCCATATAATAAATAAAAAAGAATTGGATCCATTTTTGTGCAAATGCTGTTAGGGACATCAAGAGCTGAGCGTACATAAACAAAACAAGATAGACCTTCAGTTTTGGAAAGAAGAACTCAACCTGTCATAGTCAGGTCTCTCTGCAGCCACAAATTAAATCTCTGTTGCAAAGAGGGGATCAGTGGATCAAGGTTTTTTGTGATTCTTGTCGTCTGATCTTTAACTATAGTAATCCCTCAGTATTTAACTGCAGACTTGATAGGAATTCCAGATGTAACGGAGTTAAAATTGCATTTTATTAGGGTCCATCCTTTGCCTGAAGGACCAGAGTTCCTACTGCACATTTTTCAATTGCAGCTTTAATATCTGCTAATACTGAGAGACAAAAAACACAAAATGTTAGATAGATGCTTCTTTCCTAGCAAAGAATCTGAACCAGAGGCTACTCTAAAACATGATTTAAAATAATGTTCAAGTCACCAACCAAAACACAAAGGTAGCAGCAGGAGAGAGCAGCTGATAGCAATCAGAACCTGTCTCATTTTCGGAAATATGGAGCAATAAACACGGTGTTTAGAGCTCCCCTCAAAAACATCAACAGCTGTTTCACTGTCAGCGATTTGTGACGCATCCTGATTTCCAACACTTATACTTATAGTACTTCCTTTTTCTCCTTTAGTTACACATTCAAACAGACAGTTCAACATTGTTAGTCAACAGTGTGCATTAACAATTGAATCTATTGATTAACTAACAGTATGGATTAACAATTGGAACTGTTTGCTACAAGTAGATAAAACAGCGAGCTAAACCTTCAGACAAACATTCAGAAATTGTTAGGATTAATAGTTAAACCTGTAAATGTTCTAGCAATTGTCTTTTACTGGACATATATTTTAAATACGATGCACAGCACTGGGGCACTGTATCTGTCATGGACTAGAATAACTTACATCAGCCACCACGCTACAGATACGAGGCCCATCAGTTGATATTTCGCTTTTAAAACTACTACTGGTACTCTTTTCACTATTATCTACTACTACAGTACCCAGTAAAAACCGAGAATCTAAGTTGAGATAAATAATTTAACATTAAAAAAATAATACTACAGTACTTCATCAGTGTTAGTTTTCACAACTCACATACACCAATGTTAACAGCTTCATTACAGACAACTCTATAGACAAACATCCTTTCCATTCTTAAGAAACACTGATATCAGAGGAGGGTTGGTGGCAAAATAAATATATTTTCAGGTTAAAACATTTTACAAATATTAAGTCTTGTATCACTGAAAATCACTGCAACATAACTAAGTTATGCAAAAACAACTGTTCATCAGCTGCATGGTGCATTAATAGTTGTGGCAGTGCTGAACCAAAACAAGGGGGCGGGCGACCAAATCATTAGATGGTGCAACCAACAAAGAAAGTTGGCAGCACCATTGGAAAAGTTAGTCTGGAGCCCTGCTACATGTGTTTTACTTTTAGATAAATGCATGCACAACAGTTGTACATATGATAAATAACAATCAAAGGCGGAGACAATTATTTAACAATATGTTAAGGAGTTGTTGCATTTATACCGTCTTACAGATACAACCGGCCCTTTGAGGGTAAACATAATGCTTATGTGGCCCAGGGTGAAAATGAGTTTGACACCCCTGTTGTAGAGGGTATTTTATATTGTTGAAAAAGAAAAAAATAAAGCAAGTCAGACCTTTATGTCAAGTGTTTACAGGTAGGCTACATTTTGTATTCTCACAAGATGAACACATGATATAAAGCAGCCTTTGAGAAATGTGTCTGCCACACTTCAGGAAATAAAGAAGAAAATGGTGAAGAGTCTACAGTAGTTGATGGGTCTTCACCTTGAAGTAGTGAGAGAGTGGCAGAGACAAATTTGTCTAATAATATATACAGTTGACACCAGAAGTGTACATACACTGTATACAAAGTCATATAACCTTTTTTTTTTCTCACTATCTGTCGTTAAATCAGACTAAACTTTTCTTGTTTTATGTCAGTTAGGATTGACAAAATTATTTCTATTTGCTAAATGTCAGAATAATGAGAGAGAGATTTGTTTTGCTACTTTCTTCAAAGTCAGAAGTTTACATTCACTAAGGTTACTTTGTCTTCAAACTATTTGGGAAAGACCAGATGATGATGATGTCATGGCTTTGGAAGCTTTTGGTAGGTTAATTGATAGCATCTGAGTTAACTGGAGGGACATCTGTGGATGTATTTAAAGGCACACCTCAAACACACTGCTTCCTTTTGTGTCAACATGGAAAAATCTAAAGAAATAAGCTAAGATATCAGGAAGAGAATTGTAGACCTCCACAAGTCTGGTTCATCCTTGGGTACAATTTCCAGATGCCTGAAGGTTCATCTGTTCAAACAGTTATACGCAAGTATTAACACCATGTGAATGTCCAGCCATCATAGCGCTCAGGAAGGAGACGGGTTCTGTGTCCCAGAGATGAAGTATTTTGGTGAGAAATGTGCGTATAAACCCCAGAATAAAAGCAAAAGACCTTGTGAAGATGCTGCTGAAGCTGGTCAGAGAGTGTCATTATCCACAGTGAAACGAGTCCTGCACCGACATGGTCTGAAAGGATGCTCAAAGAGGAAGAAGACATTACTCCAAAAGCAACATAAAAAAAGCCAGATTACAGTTTGCAAATGCACACAGGGACAAAAACCTTCATTTCTGGAGACATATCCTGTGGTCTGATAAAACTAAAATTGAACTGTTTGGCCATAGTGACCATCGTTACATTTGGAGGAAAAAGGAGGAAGCTTGCAAGTCTGAGAACACCATCCCAACTGTGAAGCACGGGAGTGGCAGCATCATGTTGTGGGGGTGTTTTGCTGCAGGAGGGACTGGTGCACTTCACAAAATAAATGGCATCATGAGGAAAGAACATTATGTGAAAATATTGAAGCAACATCTCATGACATCAGCCAGGAAGTTACAGCTTGGTACAAATGGGTTTTCAGATGGACAATGACCCTAAGCATACCACCAAATTAGTTACAAAGTGGTTTACGGACAACAAAGTCAATGTTTTGGAGTGGCCATCACAAAGCCCTGATCTCAATCCTGGAGAACATTTGTGGGCAGAGCTGAAAAGGCGCGTGGAGCAAGGTGGCCAACAAAGCTGACTCAGTTACACCAGTTCTGTCAGGAGGAATGGGAAGAATTCCAGCAAACTATTGTGAGAAGCTTGTGGAAGGAAACCCAAAACATTTGACCCAAGTCATACAGTTTAAAGGCAATGCTGCCAAGTACAAAGGCAATGTATGTAAACTTTTGACTTTGAAGAAAGTAATAAAATATTCTCTAAAAATTCTCTCATTCTTCTGGTATTTAGAAAAAAGAAATCATTTTGGTAATCCTAACTGACCTAAAACAGGAACATTTTTGTCTGATTTATTGTCAGACGGTGAGAAAAAAAATAATGGTTATATGTCTTTTTATACAGTGTATGTAAACTTGTGGCGTCAACTGAATAACATAAATTAGCTTTGGTAATTTCAATATTAAGGTGAAAGCCCAACAATACCACATAACATAAAAATTGACCTAACTAATTTCAATATTAATATTAGGACCTAAAATATTACATACGACACAAATTTACCTCATTAATTTAAAGGTAAAGTCCTTACAGTACTATGTTTTATACAAAGTTCCTTCACTTATTTAAATATTAGTCTGAAAACCTTATAGCATTTTTTTATTATACAAATTTATCTGAGTCCCTAAACTATTAAGGTTAAGGCCCTACAATATATTATACAAATGCATTGAAAAAAATATAGATATTAAAGTTAACACCCTACAATATCACACAGATCTAATTTAAATAATATAAGGCTCTACAATACTTTAGTTACACAAATTTACCTTACTAAGTTTAATGTAATTGTTAAAGCCCTACAGTATTATATACTGTGCAAATTTTCCCAACAAATTTAAATATTAAGGTTAAAACCCTGCAATATTATATATTGTACAAATGTTAACTACCTATATATATATGCCCATACAAAATTATGCATCCACGTAAATATATTTAAAACAGAACAAATAAATAAATAAAATTACAATTTGGGCTGTGTGATTTTTATTTCATATTTTCTGTTTCTCTAGAGAGGCACTATTTCCGACACACTGCAAGTACATGTGTTATTTTTTTAATAAAGCTCCTAAGTGATATCTTTGAGGACATAAACTTGCATATTGAACACTATTTTACCAACTATTTCCACCACAATAAATAACAATACTTCCCCAAAGAGAGAAACTACTCAGGCAGTGGCCATGACCGCCACTTTCACCGTTTAGTTATATTCTATCTAATCTCAATTTTATCCCGACCATGCTGCCTTCAAGGTGCTTTGCTGGTCACAAGGTTTCAGGAATCCGTCCATGTTCCCACAGTCTCCAACCAAATCGCCACAACACACCGGCTACGGCGACCCACGAGGGTCTGTAGCGCTTAAAGCTTTCCGGGTTCGCTGTGTCAACAGTCGCACAGAGTGCTGCTACCGTTGTGGAGGAACGACGATGTCGGAGCAGGAGTCTCTGAGGTGCTCCAGTGCCAGGAACCGTGGAGGCGTACAGAGGGTGGAAGGAAAACTGCGAGCCAGTGTAGAAAAGGGGGACTACTATGAAGCACACCAGATGTACAGGACTTTATTTTTTAGGTAAGACTCCGTGTTAGGCTGCTAGCTTTGGTTGTAATTGTCATTCGGCGTCGAGGCCTGTCTGTTCCAGATCATTCTGATGTCAACCTTGCTGCTACACCTGCCTGTGTCTGATTGGTTGGATTTCACTGTGGACCCGCCCACTCCTGTCGGTCCGTGTGTTTGTTTGGACAGACGTCGTTTCAATCTTCCAAAACGGGACGGCTAACTTACTACAGCTAGTTAGCTGTTTAGCATCACCACTACCAGCAAGCTAATGATAGCCGAATTCGAGTTAGCAAGATTACCAATACGAGACAGTTAGACAGTCTTTTTTTGTACATTATTGAAAAAGATTGGTAATCGGCAAATCACACGAATGGAACGGATAAGTGTTTTGTTAACGTCTGTCGCTGCCGAAACGTGTTAGTTGAGTCAGTCCAGCTGTGTTAGCATTTAGCCAGGTAGCCTCATTCTGCTCCGCCGCAGTCTGGGGTATGGTTGCTCGACATGGGTTTGATTAGTATAAATATTGTGTCTTGATTTAGAGCTGCTTACACTGACATTGCCAAATTTTCAGCATCTTGGATAAGCCTAGTAAAAGTTGTTCCTTTCTGTCTCTTATTTATTTAAGGAGCGGTTACACATTAAAGGGTGTACAATCATAACTGAGTGTTGCCACATCATTTAAAACCTGATTGCTATTTATGGTCATGAAAAGATTAGTTTTGCTGTCATATTCGTGACCATTTGCCTCTAGCACAGTTTAACTGTGTTGTTCAAATCTAATTAAAGCTTATCACAGAGTTAATTGGGTACTCTCCTACTTCTTTGGCCTGATCTTCCTCAGTACTGACACTAATAATTGTTATTTTAACTCCTGAAAATGCAAGACAGCCAGTCTAAAGTTACTATAGCTGACCTGTGGTGTGCAAGAAAGTTAATATACCTAATGTCATATTCACATTCGTAGTTTGTTTTGTATCTCAGCTGATGCAAATGAGTGAGGCCAGCAAATGTGTGCGAGTCTTGATAAGCTGATAGTATCATCTCATGTGTCGTGCTGATATGCCTGTTTTTCTATAGGTACATGTCACAGGCAAAACATGCTGAGGCCAGGGAGCTGATGTACAATGGTGCTCTGCTCTTCTTCAGCTATAACCAGGTATATGCTGCTCCAGTTTTTTTTTCTCAAAAGCAATATCATGTTGAAAAGTAGTTCAATTTGACTGTATTTAATAGCCCAAGTTGTGTAAATATAATAAAAGAATAACAGTGAAGCTCTGCCTGCATGATTGGAAACTTTTGATTGTGATTAATCTAAGTGTAGAGGGCTGATGATAACATATACTAAGCAAACAGCATATAAACTGGGGTTTGATGGTGGTTGCACATATGGGTTACTATTAATCATCAGGTTTCCATACATGTAAATAAATATTCTTGTGTGCATGCAGAGACTTACACTTTCCAGCCTGAGAGTGCACACAGTTCTGTATCAGTTAGATGATAAATTCATGTTTACTGCATTCATTAGGCCTTTCTCACAACTTTTTGTGGCAGTATAGAGTTAGAAAATAAAGTTGATTGTCTTTTGCTTTACAGCAAAACAGTGCAGCAGATCTGTCCATGCTGGTGCTGGAGGTTTTGGAGAAATCTGAGACAAAAGTGGAAGATGACATATTAGGTGGGTGGCAAACTTTTAAAGTTCCCTTTTCAAAGAATCCAGGTCATCTACCAGACATCCTCTACTAAGCTGCGTTCGTACGTTTTCAGTTTGACTGATGATGTATACAGTATGTTGTGCTTTTTGGATACGTTGTCTCATTATGGTGCAATTCAGAAAGTTGTGTTGATATTGGATGCGATGGGATTTTATTGTTTGGTACTGCCCTCAATGTACAGCAAAGATGTGCTATACAGCAACATTTACATAAAGTGTATCTACAAAACTGGAGCTCTTAAATGCCAACTTTTAAAGTGGACTCCACTTTTACTCAAAGATTTGTTGCATCAGTGAGTACAGTACATACCAGTACATTTTTATTGAAATGAGTACTGCTTTACACAGAGAAGAACATTATGTCTTAGAATGTAAAAAATGAAAACAAAAACAAACAAAAAAAATAGCTAAAATGCATTATTTATGTCCTGATCAGCAAGATGGATTGTTTTATTGCAATGAGACATTAGTGGCATAGATAAATATTGGTGGCTTCTGCATTGTGTTTTATATAATGAATAGTTGTTACAGATCTACTGTTGATTGGCCTTGACATTAATCTGCTTCATGTGTGTGATATTTGATTTGAATAACCACTGACAAACGCTGTAGCAAGTAAATCATAGTGACTTTCAAAGAAACCTGCCCTCCAGAAGAACAGTCGTAGGACATTTCAGCTTTCAGGATACCTTCTCTGATGTTGTGGTTTTGGTTGTGTGTGTTTGTGGAGCAGAAAGCCTTGCTAAGCTGTTCAGTCAGATGGACCAGAACTCTCCAGAGAGGGTAGCATTTGTGTCTAGAGCCTTGAAGTGGTCCACAGGAGGGTCTGGCAAGTTGGGCCACCCAAAACTACACCAGCTGCTGGCCGTCACCTTGTGGAAAGGTAATCAGTTAATCATTTCTTGTGGTGCTTTGTAACAATTAATGTAAATAATCAGCACGCACAATAGAAAATTCTCAATATTTTGTTCTTTCTTATGAATATTGTGTGTTTTCTCAGCATCACGTAACACGGTGAAATCAAAATTTTCTTTCTGTGTTTTTCAAAATTACACACTTTCAGAAAAAAAACCCAAAGGAACAAAATTTGCTAGTTTTATTACCCAGTCATGAAATGTGTCAGTGTTCCAAAAAAAGCATAATTTGTTATCACATTTGCTCCCTATTGCTGCCAGTTCCTTGTCCACAGTCAGTCCTTGGTTAATTATGTCTCTGTGGCATGTCCTGAGTGCGCGAAAGGTGTCAAGTGACACCCTAGCTGGTGTGTGTTGCTGTTTACATTGTTTTTGATGTGCGTGCTTTCTTGTACCAGCGTGAGTCTTAAAATCCTAACATTAAAAACGTCAACATTTTGTCTGTTCAGAGCAAAACTACAGTGAGTCTCGCTATCACTTCCTGCATTCATCTGATGGGGAGGGCTGTGCGCAGATGCTGGTGGAATATTCAGCGTCGCGAGGCTTCCGCAGTGAGGTCGACATGTTTGTGGCGCAGGCCGTCCTACAGTAAGTGAACTGTCACTCCCACACTTTAAAACACTGATATTAACAGATGATATCAAAACACAGTAAAATTTAAGAATCAGCCCTACTGTTTAGTTAAGAATGAGAAGAATGATGCCCAACCTGGAAATATCTGACCTTCAACCTGGAAATTTGTGCAGATTGCGTCTCAGTGCATGTAATCCAAGAATTCTGTTAACTTGTAGTATTCAGAGACGGTATGCAAGGGAGAGAATGTGGTATTGATGCATCCCTCTTGAGCATATCAGCCTGCAGTCATATCCATTTTCTATCTCTCAGCCGTTTCTTTTAAGAGTCTTTGAGCTCTGTGTGATTCTGTTCTGTCACACTTACTCTGTTTTCTTTCACTTCTTCTCTGTATGTCTTTATTCTCTGTCCCTTCTCTATTTCTGTCCTCTCCTTCTCTCATCTCACAAACCCTCCAGGTTCCTCTGCTTAAAGAACAAAAACAGCGCTTCCGTGGTGTTCAGCACGTACACAGAGAAACACCCGTCCATAGAGAAGGGCCCTCCCTTTGTCCAGCCTCTACTAAACTTTATCTGGTTTCTGCTGCTGGCAGTGGATGGGTGAGCAAAAACATTGCATTTAACTCTTAAAAACCCGACTGCCTCTAGCATAATGTCTTGCAGTATTTAAAGCTTTTCCGTTTTTTGTTTTTTTTTCCTCAGGGGTAAATTAACAGTTTTCACAGTGTTATGTGAGCAGTATCAGCCTTCTCTGAAGAGGGATCCCATGTATAATGAGGTGAGTGTTCTGATTCTGCTTGATACTCACAGCACAGTGTGTACCATGTTTGCTGTGCATACTCTGACTCTAAACTTTGACTCTAAAATTTGAGCTATGATCATGAAAAATATGTATTATTGAAAATATTGTCTTATTTATATTATGGTGGAATATTTTGTGTAAACAGTTTTTGTTCTGGGGTCTAATTCTCTCTTTTTTTCCCTCCTCCTTTTGACATTTTACTGGCTCAACAGTATCTCGACAGAATAGGACAGCTTTTCTTTGGTGTTCCACCCAAACAGTCTCCATCATACGGTGGACTCCTAGGTAAGTTGACGAAGACTTTTCGTTTGACCAGATGTTAAGAATTACTGCAGAAATGGCTTTTGACTCAGTCGAGGAATTTTTACTTGGGTTACGACGTTCTGACTTTAATTGTAAGGTTATTAAGTGTCACATACTACTCACCAGCTGTTAAGATAAATGGCAGCTTTTCAGGATTGATGACTCCTAAATGGGGATTCTGCCAAGAAATGTCTCTTCAGTCTCACCTTCTTCACATTATTCATAGAGCTGCTTGAATGAGCAGTTAATGAAGATGTTAAAAATAAATGACAAGAATCTTAATGAATGAAATCCAGTGCAGGATGTCTGAATGCAAATGATGCAGTTGTGACTTTCACAAACCTGGAGTGTAACCTGCTGTAAAAGATTAAATAACTTTAAATTATCTAATATAAGTCTACAGAAAGCTCAAACCTTCCCTTACTAGTATACTCAAATGAGAACACATACATGAAGTGGAACTTCAAATGGAAAACTGCTAACTTTTAAATAACCAGTCCAAATACTAATTGATTTAGCTAATATTTACACACTTGGTCCTATACCATGTTTTTAGACAACATGATGTTCATATCTGCCAACAGATTTTGGGGTTTAAAGGGTTGATCCCCTTTTGAAAGGAAAATATCAGTACAATGTAATATTGTAAATGATCGCACCATTATATGCACTTTATTTTGTTTCATGTTGCATTCAACAGGAAATCTGCTGAACAGCCTGATGGGTTCGGGTGAGGATGACGACGGTGCTGAAGAAGCCCAGGAGGACAGCAGCCCAATAGAACTAGACTGAGCCTGCAGCCTGGGACAAAGTCAACGAACAAACAACCACGAAAAAAAAAAAAGAGGAAGACCAACCCCGCCTCCCTCCTTCACCTCCACAACGGGGTCAAGGCGAGGCGCTGGTCCGTGTTTTCAGAGGCGTGCTGTTTCACAAAACTCCCTCCATTCTCCCAACCATCCAGTCCAAAATCAGAACAAGTCTCACGCCGCCAAAACATCCCCGTCAGCACTGCCCGGACTGACTGCGCCAAACTGCAAAACTCTTCCCGTGCTGAATTATTGTAAGACTATATTATTTTATTTTAACCATCATTTTTTGTTAGTTTGGGACTCTTGCTGTCTGTGTCGGGGTGTTTGCTTTTTAAACAAGAGATAACGAACTGTCCTCTGCCCGTGACAACCTGCTCCCAGGAGATGGGCGTGGTTGGAGTCCTCCAACTGGGGGAGACAGCCTCACAAGTGTAACCCCTCTTCATAATGTTGTTTACATCATTTTAAGAGGGTTTAGTCAGCTCACTACAATTCTCTACATGTTTTGTTTTGTTATGCAGCCACACAGCTCGATCAGAGCCTTGGTGCTGCTGCAGTTTTTTCAATGACTTATTCCGTTACAAGTCTCTTCTTTCGGTAGTAAATTAAATTGTACTTTTAGCCAAGGCTACGTTTCAGCATTGCATCTCTAGTTTAATGGACATAAAAAGACATCACAGCTCTGTGTACGCTATTGTCAGAGGTCATGTTGCACCTTGAATATCAACCAAACAAACAATTTCTTTTGTAGTGTAGATTGTAGTGTCTTTTTCTTTTGTTCAGATTACTGCGAACATACAGCCGTCTGTATACAAATAGCTCCATTGTAGCAGCCAAACTTTTTTTTGTGCACTTGTTCAACTGCTGCTAAGCTCCTTTACATCTTCATGCGGAATTGTCTGTCAGGAAAAAAAAATCCAGGTTGGATTTTTGTTAGTTTTAAGAAATTCTGGCAATGACTTACTCGAAGCACTTATGAAAGAAGCAGAATTAGATATTGGGAAACTGTGTTGCATGCTGTAAATTGCTAATATTGAAATTTGCTGCTTACCCGACTCCTTTATTTCCGTCAGACAATTCCTCTTGGAGACGATCAATAATAAAAAAACGAGCTCAGCCAGTGCACACCAAGAAGCTCAAGTTCATTCAGTCGCTGCTGTTTATCAGTGTTAAATCCATTGGCCGTCAGAGAACACAGCTTTCTTTTCTTTGCTCACATCAATCTGTCCTCAACGTTTTTTGTCCTTGTAGTGACATTCGATCAGTCCAGCTCTTGTCAATCTGCAGTTCCTTTTAAAGCCCCAGCGATGATTCATATTATCTTAAAAGCATTTCAGTTCCCCTGCAGTGTCCAAATTTTCATTAAATACCAGAAAACTAGGAATATCCAGTGGTCTTCCAATCCAGATTAATGTTTATGTACTTTTTTGTAATTATCTAGGCTGGGCGATGGAAGTCCCAAATGGCCAATATTAATAAAACCATCACAAAACAAGAAATAGAATGAACAGAGTGAAACAAATATGAACCAATACATTGTAAAATGATTCAAAACAGTAGCTTTAACGAAATTTTGGGAACTTGTATATTCAATAAAGTGAACTCTAAGAAGAAAAACAAGATTGCTGTTGATAATTAGCTGTTATAAATAAATTGAGTAATGGAACAGGTTTTTGGTTCTTTCACTGTTTCACATTTGATTAATGATTTCTTATATTTCATGTGTTTAATGTTGGCCCTTTTGGTGTTCCATACAGGACTGGCTGACGCAATGTCACATGGCTACAGCGGGACAGATAGCGTAGTGCTGGTTTGTCCGTGTAAATGCTCTGCTGTGGTAGCATCTGTCTAATGTTGGTGTTGACGATGTAGGAAAGAGACCAGTGATGTGGCAAAGAGTTAACCGCAGCACTAACTAAAAATTGGGGGGAAAAAAAAAAGATAATCTAAAAGTCTAGTGTAAAAACCTGCAAACACTGTTTAAATGACTCAACTTAGACAAAATATTGTGAAAGGTTTCTCTCTGGTGCCCGGCTCATCACGCAGGCTTCTCTGTTGCACCACTGAGGTCGACCATCTGAAGGGAAATTCAGGCCTAAATGGCTTTTAGGTTCCTTAGCAACAAAACACATTTTCTGAAGAGGTCAGTTTGGAGGACGACATCAGAGGATGTGTTCTGGTACTCATGATTGCGCTTTATTTTTTTTTTATTCAGTGTTAAATGTTACAGTGTCCTTTTATGTGAAGCTGGAACAGAAACATGTAAAAGGAGGAAGGAATGAAACTCGATTTTTATTTATTTTTTTGTTAACCTGAAAGCCGCTTAAGTCAGAATTGCCCTGTAATTACCTGGATAATGTGTGTGACCAAAGGCCTACTGTGTCAGTGAACATCATCACAGCTGTTTGTTTTTGATGATTTTTGTCCTTTGAGAACTAAAGCGGAGTGTTTGCCTTTTCAACAGTTCACTAATTCAGTAAATAAACTACAACTGAGAAGAGTTTGAGAATGTCAAACGGCTTCCTCTCCATTTTTTTGTTTATTGCATCATGTAGTGTATTTCAAACTGATATCTGAGACACAAGTAAAAAACGGACTGTAGATACTGTAAGCAAAACAATACAACTGATATCAATGAGACAGAGGGGGTACTTGTGTTAAAGTAACTGGGCTTTCAGAGGAAGGTGTGTGGAGACTCTTTTCTGGCCTTCCCAGCTCTGTTTTAGGTTGCTGGGAAAGTCAGTTTGAATCTCTTGTGGTTTTGAGTTGAGAAGAAGAGGCTGTGGGAGGAAACATTCTTGAACACTGATAAATCAGTTTGAAGTCGAGGAGTTATGAAACTCTGGGGAATTACTGCAATCTGAGATAAGTAGTGTGAATATGTCACATCCAAAGGGCCTTTAAAGCAAATGTCTCATGTTCTAAAAAGAAAAATTAAGGCATTTTTAAACTGCTCAGTGCTTCTTGTTAGTTTTATTTACACAAACTGGAACGGACCACTTTTCTTAAACAATTTTACAAACAATGCCGAGGAAGTCGTTCAGGTGCGGGACTGTAGAGCGAGCCTCTGGACTGTGTCTGACAGGTGAGCCATGTCGGGCTGCTGAGCCTGATGTTTGATGAACTCCAGAGTCCGAACCTGCAGCAGACACAGAAACAAGTCCGGCTGCATTCACAAAAAGCTTGTTTATGGCCCTGCTCACTTCAAAAATGTGCTTGAGTTGTAAACTAAGGAATTTGACTCCACTATGATGAAACGCCTCAATGCTGGCGTTAATGGTTCTCTCCAAATTTATAAATATGGGCATTTCGAGGGTGGAAAAGGGCTCAACGTTGCAAGGCTAGTGTTGACAGAGAGCCAACATTGGGATTCATCAGTGTCATGAAATGTATTTAGGCTTCAGGCGTCACTGGGGCTGACGCCTCAAACTAATGTTCGCAATCACTATCTTCTGGCCTGGGGATGGCATTGAGCAACTCCTGACTTGCATACCCAACTGGGGGTAAATCTACATTCTAAACAGTAAAGAAAGCTGAAAATGTGAGTCTGTCATACTGATTAATGAGACTGAAATTTAAACCAAGTACAGGCAAAAGCTAATGCAGGTAGAGCTGCTTGAGGAATCAGTAAAATGTGAACTCACAGAGATCCGAGTCTCACAGAATCCGTGTTTGTGGCTGAGGTTCCACAGGTTGACAGCCAGCTGGCTCAGCTTGTTGTTCCTCAGGTCACCGTGAGCCAACAGGACGCCAAACAGGGAGAAAGCTAGAGCGCCTTGACGTCGTGGGTTCTGCTGCAGGAGAGTCCGTGAGACGCTTGTCAGAAATCTAGCATAATAACTTTGATTTTCAGGATCAAGAATAACTTTATTGTCCCAGGTGTCTAGGGCTATTCACTCATGCTGCAGACAACACAAGCAGCAGGTTTTTAGGAAACCTGAAATCTGGATCATCATTAAAAACCTGATCACATTTTACCAAGAAATTCTTTAAAATCAAAGCATAACCTTCACTCAGCTTTGTACACTGAAGTGAAAAGACTTATCGCACCATTTTTATTCATTTCTGAGCGATAAGTGCCATGACAACAAAAACTTGTCACAGTGAGGTGTTTCTGTGTGTCCTCACCTCATCCCGACCGAGCGCCTTCAGATGGTCCAGGATCTGACCGATCAGAGTCTCACACAGCTTGTTGATCTCTGACAGAAACTTGGGGTCTCCTCCATATAGAGTCTCATTGGAGTCCACTGAGAGCAGGACACAGAGAGAAAAGCTTCATTCAGTTGGGATATAGGCTTGGCCAGGTTTGCCATAAAGTGATCACATACAAAAATCCTTCCATATGTCACAATAACTAACAAACAAAAGTCATGAGTAGAAGCTGAACTATGACAGTGTTACAACTTGATCATCTACATGTACACAGATTATAAGGTTGGTTTGGTTATGTGAGTGTGTTGTTACCTTTGGGGATAGAATAGAGATACGTTTCCTGGCTCATGGCGGCCAGCACGGGCAGAGCGCTGACGTAAACCCGCACTTTGGCATCACTGTTATCCTCCCAGGTGTAATCCTGGACCATGTTGAGCAGACCGCGGACTAAGTAGAGCACCCCATGCTCCGGATGGTCCTGTAAACACATACACTTTGGTCAGGGAATACTGGGGAGAGTATAGGTATGGTACAAGTCCTGGAAAGACACAGGAACTCTTCAGACATTTATTTCATGAGACGGGTGTGTCAGACAGGAAGGAGAATAACAGACTCCTGCACACTGTCTTCTAACTTGTAAAAATACATTTACGTTTTTGTGTTAGACCTATAAAAGGCAGATGGTTTGTTACATCTTGAATAGGCAGAGGCAACATACAGGAAGTTAGAAACCCTGTGTATAGCAACAGACATAAATGTGCAAAGTACTGATGCTTAACACCCCCCTAAGGGCCAAACTACAATTCTAAATAAAAACATGAACAAATGATGAACAAATAGAATCCATCATAGTAAATACAATAAGGTCTCATAATATTTCTGTGCTGGGAGGTTGATGAGACAGAATTGCGAGTGTTACCGGGACGACTAGCAGCGTTGCCAAGAAGTTGTTGATGAAGTCCAGCAGGAAGCTCTCAGAGGAGCGAAGTTTTCCCTCAACACTGATGGAGCGAGGAACCTCTGGGAGAACACTGACCGCTGCCTGAAGGAACGCATCCGCTGGAGGAGAGGGGAGAAAGGTGGAAAGATTAAGGGAGGAAGAAAAGGTGTGAGAGAGACGGAAAATAGGTAGTGAGAAACAGTAGGTAGGAGGGAGGGAGAGGTGGGAATACACAGGAGAAAATAGACGGTGGGAGAGGAGGAACAAATGAAAAGGAAAGACAAAGAGGGACAAGAAGTGACTGATATAAATTTGGTGTAAAAAAATTCAGAATCGCTGAAATGCAGCAGCTGCTCACACTGGGAGAGACACTGGTTGGCCAAGGCAACCTGCCCAGACAGCAGGTAGAGGCTGAGACGACTAAAGATGCTGCTGAGAGACGGGATGGTGATGAAACTGTAGGCAGCACACGCCTGCAGGAGAGACGGAGACAGACGCAAACCCATTAACTGGCAGTGATTAACGGTTTTCCAAGAAGCTCTTGTGTCTCTGGCACTGCAGAGATCTCATCCTGCAGGAATGTATGGAGGTGATTAGACTCTGTGTGTCTTTGACTCACTCTGACGAAGGCAGCAGTTTTTCGGGAGTGACTCCCTCTCATCACTCTCAGGGTCTCCATGGCCAGCTGGTTCACCGTCTGTCAATGACGAGGTTACAGGAAGAACCTGAAGACTGGGTTTGTGTGCGTCAATATTAAAACACTGATGTTAAACAGGGATTTATACTGACGTGGATGAGCTGCACCAGAACTGGCTCCAGGTTACAGAAAGTGGCTCTGGCCTCCACACAGAAGCTCAGCTGCTGCTCAAAGTCTCGACCAAAGGAAACCTGAATAGACAGTTAGACAGACAGATAGTTCCCGTTTTATCAATAGATTTTATCAGAGTCATTTTGCATCAGAGCTCAGAAGAAATTTGCAACATCAAAATATGATTTTCTGATTGAAGCTCATCTATGAGAAAGTCACAAGGTTGAAAAGAGCCACAGGACAATATAATAATACATTACAATTATTTCTTTCTTTTTATAAAATTCTCTGTGTTTATATGGTTTTAGGTCTTTAAATTCCAACAATGAACTGATAACATGTATCTGTGAAGCCAAACAGACATGAAACTGCTCATCAGCCAATTGTCCAATTTCTTTTAAGCCTGTACAAATATAAAGACGATGTAAAAAATGGCCTAAACTGTTGCAATGTTATAATTAAACTGCTCTGATTAAAGCTGGAAGTCGACACTTTAAACCCATCTTGACTGCTTCACTTTAAATCCACTGTGGTGTAAAGAAGCAAAATTATGAACATTATGTCAATGTTCTACACTCATGGAACTGACTGTATTTTATTCCTCATCTTGCTTTGCTGCCGGCCAAAATCTATTAAAAACACAGATTTGAGCCACACAGTTTTACGCTGGGCAACATGTTCCTTCATTAACACAAACACAACATGTCGTTATTTTGAGTGAATTCCACGTCGACAGTCCTGCAGCTATAAATAATGAATGTACGAGGGCATCAAATGTGTAACACGATTTACTTCTGTTTGAGTTATGTTTGTTAAAATGCACAATGCTTGTCTGATTTATAAAATAATTTTCTACATTTTAGATTTAAATACGTATTTTGAGCCATTTTTTAAAAAGATTTCTGTCTTCAGCAGAAACCAGTGGGCTTCATGTGGAGAGACCCGGACAGCTGAGTGATGGATGAGAAAATAGTTGTGTTTCATAGGATGTGTTGGCCATAAATTAATTGTGAATTGAAGTCTCACCATGCGGATGAAGCCGATGATCAGCAGCGCTAAAGATCTTTTCTCATCCTCCAGAGTAAGAGCGCTGCAGGACAAAGAGCAGAGAAGTTACTGATGGAAAACAGTCACCTGGTGATCAGATGACCAGCCACTAGATTAAATAAGAATTACTATGACAACAGACCTCAAACTACGAAGAAAACTGGGCAAGATAATAACGACAACAACAACAACAATAATAATAAAGTTGAAATTGACAAAAGTAATAATAAATAAAAATTTAATGAAAATCATGACATTGCTTTTGAATTGTGGTTCAACAAAAATATTAAAAACAACAACAACAAAGAACAAAACAAGCAAACAAACGTGATGGGACCCATAAACTAATATTTTGTTGAACAACCCTTTGAGCCAATCACTGGTATCAAGTGTTTTCTGTAACTCTCAGTCAGACGTCTGCACCTGTTGACAGGTATTTTGATTTTGGCCCACTGCTCATCAGCAAAGTGCTCTAATTTGTCCAGGAGTGTTTTTTTTTTTTAAATTATTCTTTTCAACCACAATTCAAAAGCAATGTCTAATTTCACTAAATTATAATTTAGAAATTTTTTATTTATTATTACTTTTTTCAGTTTCTAGTTATTTGAGTGACTATTGTGAATTTTGCCTTTTCTTAGAAGGGTTTGAATACATTTGCGGACGACTGTACATGAAGAGGCAATTGGATATATTAACTCAAATCCAAATGAAAACTACAATTATGTCATGAAAAGCACAACATTTACCAAATGCCTAAAAGACAACGACTATCTAATTTAAGATGAATAGAACACACAGAAACAAATTCCCTACTTGACAGAGTCGTGCATGGTCTTGCAGATGTGCAGCATGGCGTTGAGGATGACCGGGTCTCTGGTGAGCTCCACCTGGTGTCTGCAGAAGACAAAACAACGGATGGAGACACATTAAAAGAAGACATTTTTAAAGAAGGTATCACATCTTTTCTGTCACAAACTAAATCTCCTGATCTCAACCAACTCTTACCTGATGAAGACCTCCATGATGGATTTGCAGACCTCCACCCTCACGCTGTCCTTCTGGAACATGTCGAGGAACGGCAGGAAACGCTCCTGAGGAACAGAAAAGTAGCAAACTGTGGAACTGTGGCTCGATGAGGGGAAGTCGCAGGTCATGTTCAGCTTGTTCAGAGTTTGATGAAGCATTTGAAACTGGCAATACTCACCATGGAGAAGAGGACGGAGAAGTCATGGAGGTAGGTGAGGATCTTCCGGATCACTGACTGCAGCTACATGTGAAAACAAAAACTAAACAGAGTCAGTACAGAGCAGACGATGAGAGGATAAGGGGCAATAATTTAGATTTGAGGCAGCAAAATAAGTCACTGTGTCAACCTGAGGATAGGCGTCTTCAAACGCTCGGTCAGGCGTCATGTGTTTGATGATGTCAGCCAGAACTGTGTTGACTTCACGTTTCTGAGAGTGAAAGAGAGAGACAGAGCTGAAGAAAGCGAAGCAACTCCAAATAATGAAAGGTGCTTTGACTGTGTTTTGCTCACTGTAAAGTGTCGGCAGGTGAACTCCACCCAGATTTCAGCACAGTTGACGTAATCCTGAAAACCACAATGACATTTTGAGTAAAAACCTGGAAAATTTTGATTTAAGCAACAGTCGTAATAGAAGCCAGCAGCAGCGTTACAGAACCTGAGGACTGCGAACTTTGGTGATGACCTTCCAGGCTTCGTTCAGGATCGTGAGCCGCTCAGATTCTGGAGGATCTGCACAAGCCAGACTGCGACCCAGAGATCCGAACAACAGATGCTGGCAGAAGACAACAAAACAATCATTCATATCTGAACCAGTGACCTCAACAACAGAACAAGCTCCTATATTCCAAACAAATTAAAAAACTTCCATTCTAATCTTTTACATTAACATATTGTTGGGGTCAAAAGTAGAAATGAAACTCATGACACTGTCTGGTGAGGTATATTACAGTCGTTCATGTCCTTTTACCTTTGGGAAGCCGGACTCGTCGCACTCTTTGATCATGCTGATGAAGTCCGTGGCTCTGGCTGCAACAAACTCTGGCCTGAACGCTCTCATTACTGAATTCAGAAGCAAGGCACTGTGGGAAACAGGAACATGGTAACTGTCTGATTAAAAAAGGACATTGCCTGTTCATCGCCAGCTCCAGAACATTTTAGATGTGGCAGGAGCACTGGGAGCGGTGTATCACTGCACAACAAGGCTAACAGCTGAATTTAAGACACGTACAATTGTATGTTTTATAGGCCTCATCTTGGAACTTTTTGAATGTACCTGGAGCAAGAGCCAGAATTGTTCTTGCAGCCCCACTGCACTACATAATATAATAAACTGCTAACTTCTTTATAAAGTTATCTGAAAAACCAACATACAGACCAAGGTTTATAATGAAGTAGAAAACTCTTCAGGTGAAAACTAACACCTTTCCTCTTATTGCAACATGATATTTTCATTGAGAAGAAAATAGCCAACACACTAACTTCTCATTTTCATTATTGTTTTGCTGCTGAAAAACTCACTTATTTCCCAGCGTCTTGCACCTCTCCATCATCTCCGTTAGCAGAGGCTGAAGTGACACACAAACAGCAATAAAAGCAGTAATTCTAGTTAGTTTGTACCTCTGTAAATATTTGACCAAGCTCAACTTTTGCAAGCAAACTACTAAAAACAGACTTTTTTTTTTTGGCCAATATTCTCCATCTTTATGAATCTAAATAGGTCCAGTTAAATACCTCTGGAGCTCGGTAGGCGATGCACTGCAGGATCCAGTTGATGGCAGGAGAGTAGAGGGTCAGGTACTCGGGCACCTCCACCCTCTGCAGGACCAGCTGGTTCTGGACGCTCTCTGCACTGATCTGCCGGAAGGTGCCGAGCAGGTCGAAGAAGTTGCGGTTCAGGCTGTCTTTCAGGTGGGGGGCCACCTCCATGCCCACCTGGATTTCAAAATAACATTTAGATTTAGAGTAAAGAGAAGGCCCAGCTGGGAACAGGATGGCGAGACAAACTTAACGTCTGACTAATCATATCTCACCCTGCAGAGGTAAGCTCTGGTGTACGCAGCCACCAGAGGATCTCCAATACCTCTGATCATGGCTGTCAGCCGAGGGAGGGTCTCCTGAATGCCACTGTGGAAGGTGGAGGGACAGAAGGAGGCAGAAAGCAAAACTACTTTAGCAGGATGGACAATTTGTTATGTCCAGTGTAGAGACCAACACATATTTCTGTTATCCGATATTGGCCTATTACAGACACATCAGTATTGGTGTATATGCTGTCTGATATGTGCCAAACACAAAAACTCCTTCTACAGAAATAATGCTGAAAAAGATGCTTGGAGGCAACTACATTGTTTACAACACTATCAGCACTGTCTGCAGCACATGTAGCAGAGTATGTGTCACAGCTGAGCAGATGGTACTGGGGAGCATTTCTGGGCATTAAGTTGCTTTTCAGCTGCTTATTTGTCAATATAACTCTAATATACAATATATATATATGTATGTGTGTGTGTGTATTTATATAAAAAATATCAGCTGATATATAAAGAATGGACTTCAACTCTCTAAAATTGTAAAAGTCAGTTCCTCAATTGGTCAGGCTCTTGATCAATAAAAAAAGGTATTAGAATTGGCCAGCAAACCAACTCTAATCAGTTTTTTTTGGAAGAATTCAAATATTTGACTCCATTTTACAAACATGTATGTTGTATCATAAGTCTTTCATTGCTTTACTGCACTGTCTAAAGGCTATTTAACGCATTAAAAAATAAAAAATAAAAATTAAAGCTACATCGTTATGGATCCTAAAGAGAAACCATCAGGACTCACGATTTGTTTAGGAAGCGGTTGCACTTGAGGATGGCAGCTTCAACATATCTGTGCATCCAGGTTAAAGAGTCACACTTAAACATAATATATACTTTTCACAACCACAGTCAAGTGTTTTTTAAAATCAAACCAAGTCTGACTTTAGTCCAGGTTAAAGTAAAAGTAAAAAAGGCCCTCGAAAGACAAAAATATGTACACATGTACTTCTTAATGTAAATGTAATGTTTTCTGTGAATGTATAAAATTTTAAGTCAATAGGAAAGAAGCTCAAGTGGGACATAAAGGAATTTTAGACCAGATGATCTCCAAGTCAGATCTGAGTTGTGTGATAGTGGTGAAAGATACAGTCGGGGCAGGAGCTCTCTGATGGAGGCGATCTTGAAGAACCAGTTGAGACACGTTTCTTTGGCCGTGTCGTTCACATCTTCAACTGTGAAGCCGTCTGAGGTGGAACAAAATCAAATGACACGCAGACAATAAATTAAACAATTTCGATGACAAAGGCTGCTAAAAAAGTCTAAATAATTCAAACCTGAGTACACTCACAGGCACAAATAACATCAGTATAAGTTGGATGTAGATATTGCATCCATACCTGGTAAAGGTCGTGGGTCTGAACACATGGTCCAGATTCTGTCGTACACCAGCCGGCCTACAAACAAGAAGACAGCAGTCAGAAAACATACAAACTATTTGTTTTTTTTTTTAAAGACTGAACTGAGGGAAATAAAGCCTCTTTACGCACCAAAAGTGTCGAGAATATCAGTGATGAGAACAAACTTGCTGGGGTAGAACTGGATCACAGAGGTGTCGGACAGAAGCTTGGAGCACTAGAACACACATCGTAATCAATGCTGTTATCTTAAAGAGAAGATCTGTTATTACAGCCACAGTCAATCAGCAAATCAGAGTTTGTTGTTGAAGCACCATCTGCAAGACAGTGTATATCAGACTATTCTTCCAGGGATCAGTGTTTCTAATTGCTGGGTTACCTGGATGACAATCTTCAGAGCTTTGACCTTCTGGTCGGAGGCCCAGGCCTCCTTCAGGGACTGGTTCAGCTCCTCGATGCGGTTGGCGTAATCCTGCTGGGAAAGGTTCAGCAGCTCTCTCTGGGAACCCTGAACACACACAAACAAGTAGGTCCAAACCACGTCAAGCATTTGGTGAAAACTTAAAATTAAGTGAGAACACTAACACATGCACATCTGTAAGCAGACAGCCAGCTCACCTCCTCCAGATCATCCAGCTCTTCCAGGCGAGTGCGAACTTTCTCTGAAACAGCTGAAGATCCTGGACTGAGAGCTTTTCCTAGTGAGGACAGAAGTGATTGATTTGCCTTCATTAGAAATTCTGCTTTAATGGCTTTCTTGAAATAGAAGTTAAAAGATCCAAATCTACAAGGTGAAGGCATGTTTGGATTTTAATTAGTCTAGAAAAAGTTTATTAGATTAGAACCAGCCTGTTAAAAGCACAAACAGTACTTTTTATATGTAATGTGCATCATTCTATCCTGTTAAATAATTTTCTTAAACAGAACTTTAGTTTTTAATCACCGAACAGAAGTGAATGGCGTGTTTGTCGTAGGCTATTTTAAGCCGTGTATCTGCCGCATTAGTGAGTGTTCACTGAGTCAAACTAAAGCACAGGCCAGGAACAGTGTGGGAGTGTGGCTCATTCAAGTGTTTCTGAACAACAATTAAACTTTATGACACTGAGGAATAACGTGCATCAGGCTTTGGATAGTTGAATCAGTACATTTAATCCTGTCAAAGGATTCATTGACAAAACTAGAGAATATCACTGGACTCAACATTTAAACATTTTTAGACACATTTTTCTTAAGTCGTGATGATGTCAAGTGTCAGTAAAGTTTATCATGTTGAATATTAAACTCAGGTCTTACCTCTGTCAGAGCCCATGAAAAGATTCTGTGAAAACAAGGAAATACAAATTAGGTTTCAGTCTTAGTAGGCATGAGTGTCTATAATAGCCAAGGTGTGTGTTTTAAAATGTATTTACGAAGGCTATGATTATTTTTTTCTTGCTTGCTGTAAACATCAGGTAAGAAAACGCCATCAAAGCTTTTGTCTCTCAGGACACAGAAACTAGCAAGTTTTGATTTTAGCAAAGAACTTCATCAACAAAATAAGTGATTTTTTAAAATTACATTTATTTTTCACGTTTCTACAGCTTATCAGTGTCCGGGATAGAGCAGTCAGATCTGATTTTCAATACTTTATTATTGTGGCAAAAAGAATTTATAAAGAAAATCAAATTTATTCTGAATATTGTTAACTGAGTGTTTTGTCTCTTTTTTTGGCAAATTAATTGAACTCAAAACATGACTATAGGGAGATGAAAAGACCATAAGTGTGCTGTATGTTATTCCTATGCTGAAGTGTCAACCAGATTGTTATTAGGTGTATATTAATTCCATAAAAAATTATAAGGACCGGTATATTACATCACCTCTAGTCCTGACATGGATGTAATTTATTTGACATTTGACAATTATTTATTAAAAAAAAAAAAAAAAAAAAAAAAAAAAGCCAAGACAACAATCAGGCTCCCCAAATCGCCTATATGGAGACTTCACACTGTATGTGTTTTTTTTTTGTTTTTTTTTATTTCTTAGGGATATTTTAAGTCAAGGACTGACAAAAATGGGTTATTAATTTGTACATAAATGTATGACAGTAAAAAACATTCAATGTGCTACTGAAAAGAGTCTGAAAGGAGCTGTGTGAGTCCTGCAGAAGCCCTGACTGCAGGACAACCTTTATGACTCACAATCGAGAGTTTCTCGGTGGTGGTGAACCTGGCCAGGATTTCGCCTCGCTTTGATGACCAATGCTCAAAGTCTAGTCCCACTGCCTCTTCCTCCTTCTCCCTCCTCTTCCTCCCCAGGTCCTGGAAGCACAACATCACCTTAAATATCAAGTCTGTTACCTCTGTGTTTCTGAGCACATTGCTATAGCAATAGAATATTAATAATGGCAATAGTCAACATCTGAGTGTTTCCCTGCAGGTTTCATTTTGTCCAGGTCGAGAAACTTGTGGAACAACATTTGTCCAAACACCAGCTGCTCTGTCTGCGGTAAGAACTGACCCCTGTGGAGCTGCTGTGTGTCATGGCAGGAGCCTCGGTGGCCGAGGCGGCAGCAAACATGGACAGAGGGTCGGTGCCGTCCAGCATGGAGCTGAGAGGGTCGGCGGGTGCTGAGGAAGAGGAAGACGAAGAGGAGGAGGTGCTGCCTTTACGGGCTCCACGGCGAGTCTTTGTATCCGTCACCTGGATGGAGAGGAAATGGTCAAAGCTGTTGCACCAAGATTAAAGGACTATACTGAGGTTTTGTTCATGTTTTTTTGCTCATTTTTTACTTTAAGAAAAAAACCCATCACTACTGGCTGTATGTTTAAAATTATATTGTACTTTTTCAGATTGTGCTGCAAATGTTTAAGGCAGACGTTTGTCAATTTATTTAGTTGCTATAAAGGTGCACGTTAACTAAAATAGACTATACAGGGAGTAAAGTGGATGAAGCGGGATAAAGGAAGTAGAGGAGGTTACCATGATGGGTTTGAGGGGATGGTAGTCTCCAAACTCGACCAGCGCCGCCTCAGGACGACATCTCTGCAGCTCTGCGTCATAGTTGCGTCCACGGGAACGCCTGATCACACACAGACAGCAGAGTAGACCAGGTTACTGAACACTCACTCTGATGCAGAATTCCTTTCTAAGCGCTTCTTATGTCCTGTTAGGACATGGGAGCTTTACTTAGATACTAAAATGAAGATATGTGGTGTCATCATGGGAGACAAATGCAAGCTCATGGTACCCAATATATTCAAACTAACCCCAAAGGCAGAAAGATCTTACAAGTTATTACTACTCTAACGAATTAAAGACTGCCAACATTTAAAGTGCTGTTTAAAATGCCAATAACATCTTGAAAGTGGAACAACTCTGGACCTATAATAGGTTAAAAAAAATACATCACTAGTATTGCTTGTAAGGAAAACATATGCATGTTAATTCCAGAGGTTGATTTTTGAGACTGATGCTGATCTCATCACCACGTGCTCAGCTGTGACACATACTCTGCTACATGTGCTGCTGACAGAGCTGAGAATATTGTAAACAGTAGAGTGGGAGTCGCTCTGCAGGACAAACTATGTGATGGCCTGATTCCACAAGCATCTTTTATCTCCATTGTGTTCATTAAAAGAAACAAATAGGCTGATATCTGAAAGGCCAATATTAACAGTATCAGTCAGGCTCCAGCTAATTCTGCACACATGCTGGTGTTTATCCAGAAAAAAGAGGTATTACCTGAAAGAATAAGCCATCAAGTTTCAATTTTGCACTTGTATGTATTGCCTGCTAGTATGTCTATTCCAGGGTATTTACAAGTCAAGTCAATGGTATTTACAACACAAGAAATTGACCCAAAGTGCTTTTTAATACAAATGTATATACATTTGCATAGCACGTTTAAATATTAAGTTACAAAATTAGACATGAAAAACCTAACAAATGCCTCCAATGAACAAGCACACGGAGACAATGACAATAATGACAGTGATTCATGGAAAACCTTTGACTAGCAGAGTATTTTGTTGTCTATCCAGTGATAGCTCACACTTAAATCTACACTACTCCGAATGTGAGACTGCTATTTAACCTATGCAGCGCCTTTGACACACCCCCACAGGCTAAAACCAAACCACAGCCAAACAGGTCGCAGCCATAAAAACTGTCAATAATACCGCAGTTGCTTTTGCTGGTAATGTCATGTTCTAAAACCTGCAAAAAAAAAAAAAAGTTGGCCTTACATTTGAGACGCTAACTTTTACCTAAGCGCATATTACACACGTTTCCACTGCCCGTATGTTCTCAAATGTCACACCTTGTCAATATATTGATAATTTAACCGATTTATGTTGATAATAAGGTGTTTTTATGATAAGAAAATAGCATCTTACCACTGCACCGCAGCCATTTTTCTACGTCATGTGACACTTTACGACTTCCCGGTTTGACGAAATTGTGGTAAAAGTCCGGTTTTGTTGTCACGTTAGCGTTTTGTTAAATATTCGCTGTTGTCACATTAAGAGCAACCAAAGTGGATATATGATAACGTGTCATTTTAGCATTTGGGACAATGTCAACGTAATTTGAGGGACGTTTTAGTGAACTAACGTTGCACAATAGAACTTCATTTCCCAGGATGCACAGCGCAATTTAACTTTCACCACAGAGATGAGCGAGAAGAAATTAGAGGTGCCACTTTGAGGTAATATTCCGGGTGCTGAATACGTTTTCAAGAAATGTTCGTTATTTTTCACGGGTTATAGAGTTACCCTTGCTGGGGCAGTTGTTGACATTAGCTGCCACATTTTGGTCAAAATTTCACTCAAAGTACTTCACTACCAAATGAGGACCAGAGACGTGTTAGTTTAGCTGTTTAGTGAATCATCTGTTTAATATACGATCTTCGTGAGGGAGCTCGTACATTGAACCGCTCGGTGCCGTCGGGCTGCAGCAGTCAGCGGAGACGTTAAACCTCGAGCCCAGCCTCAGCATGACCTGACCGGACAGCTGCAGGCTTTCCGCCCCGTTCTCCTGACCAGGTAAAGTCTGCCGGTGACCGGTTTGACCCGAGACGGTGTTTCGGTTTTAATAAAACGAACCCGTACTGCTGGCGTTTAGAGGCAGCTAACTGTTAGCTGGCTAACGTTTCACCATATCTAATTGGAGGAATTGTTTAATGCTGGTTGTCATAATTAGATATTTTTAAGACGTGATAGTATAATTCAGTCAGTTCTAGCTATTTTTGATGTGGACATTGGATATTATAATTTGTCTCAGTCGTCTATAGACTTGTTTAGCCATCATATGGACAAAGGTGTTTGATCCTGACTGATGTTCTTACAGCTAATAACGACATTTACTGGAGACAGATATTAATACCTTCAATACTGACTCACTAATAACAGTGGAAACAATATGAACATGCTGTGTTAGTGTTGCTGCTGTCACATGGTATATAATCCAAACTGCAGGGTGGATGATATGGGATTAATGAATGGCATATGACAAAATGAGCACTAAATGGTGGCATCTTGTGTTCATTTGACTCATCTTGAGATGTAGGCTGGAAAAAATACAGTTTGGCTGCAGTGTATCTTTAAGATGGAAAAAAAATACAGGGTTTTAAGTATTTATTTTGGGTCTTCATCACAAATGCAGATATGAAAATACAGACTCTCTTTGGATCCAAGGACACGGCTGGACAATGAAGCTGAAGAGTTTATCATGACAACATTTTTTTTTTTTTAGTCAATGTCAGTAATTGTTGATCATTTTGATAACCAAAAAAATGACAATGAATGGGGAAAGGAATGATCTCACCTTCATATTAAATAAAGAGATCAATTAACACCTGGTGACCAAGGCAAACCTACTGTACTGAACTGAGGTTTGGGTTGCATGTGGCCGGCCTGGACCAGGTATCGCTGGACGGGGACCCCAATGCCAAGTCTGTCAACCGTCAGAGCAGGCCGCCAGGATCACACCTACGCAGAGGTGGTTGGGGGACACAGGGATCTGGGTTTAGACCGTAAAGCCTGTCTTATGAGGACAACCACCAGTCCTTGCCAGGCACAAATTAGGGTGGCTGCAGACTAGCGTGCCTTGGTGACCTTCAGGAAAACCACAGGGGATCAGCTGAGGGTGAAGGGGCTCCATTATCAAGAGATATACCAGGCTGTTTATGAGCCACACTTGGTTTGTTAATGCAACTGAACTTAACATGTTCAATATGTGCTTTCATGGAGGTAAAACTATCAAACATTTAGTCGTCAGTTTTCTTACTGGTTTTGATGAAGTGTCTGTCATTGGTTGGTTTCATTCTCGCTTTATCTGCCACACCTTTTCAAAAACATATTAAAAGCGAGATTAGACTTTGTGATGAATAAGTCATCACCTAAATATACCAAGGCATAGTGCTTTTCAAATGTTAAAAAGCCTTTCGTAAATGGGCTTAGTGTCTGCACATTTACAAAAGCAAAATATTTGTTAAAACTTCTGGCTGATTTGCCTTAAAAAAAAATCAGTTTGCCAAAAAATGTCTCCAGAAATTTCCCAGTGTTGGGCACCAGGGACAAACTGTAGCATCGTTCTGGCAATAATAAGAAGTGTGCCACTACTTTGAGAGGTTCCTCAGCAGTTGTGGCTTTGTGCTATAGATCAGAAGGTCATGGCTTCCAGGCTGCCACTGTTGGGACCTCAACCCTGTCTGCTCCACCACAGCTTCCTAACAAGCTCCGATATGCAGAAAAAAGAATTTCCCCTTGCAGAATAAATAAGGTGTATAACATTTAAATAAAAATAAACATGTTCACCAGTGCTTTGTGCTATGTTTCCCATTTATAGCATTTCTAGCAAAAATAGTTTTCAAGTAAACAGCTGTGGTTGATCTTTGGCAATACAGCCCCAAATCTGTGGCAAAATTACATCTTCACTTGCAGATTACATTTGTGGCAACACCGCAGTGGACTTCTTGTGACTTTGTGGAAAACGTATTACTGGCTTGCAGCAGATTCATGTTTTATGCAGTGTTAATAATAATAATGAGACTGAAGTTGTTTGCAGTGTCGCCTCAAAGTAAGAAAGTTGTGAGTTTGAATCTGCTGTTCTCCCACAAGATTTATTCAGATATAGCGTTCTGTCCACAGTCCAAACACATGCGTGATTCTAAACTGACCATAGGTATGAATGTGAGCATAGATGGTTGTTTTTTGTTGTTATCTCTTTATATTACTTTCAAAAAAAGGATGAAATGTAATATATGTAGACATAAATGCCCATATAATTTCCTCAAGCCCAAGGTGACGGCCTCAGATGTTTTCATCCAAAGAACAGCTGAAATCCTAAATATACTCGGGTGACAATGAAATAAAACCAATAAAAGAAGAAAAACTGTGAAGCTGGAACTAGATGGTGCTCGGTGCAATTTTACAGGGAAATGATCAAAGTAGTTAAAGATATTTTTGTCGACTGACTAATTTTAAATTGACTAATCTGTTCTGCCCGGCACAATATTTTAGCTCTGCACTAGTCTCCAGATACCTCTGGAAGAGCGTGATAAAGGAGAAGTTAATGAAAGTCTTGCAATTCTGAGCAGTGATAAAATCAGGTGGAGCTGTTTTCATCTTTTGTTCATGTCTCACATCAGCCTCCCTCACATGCAGTAAGTGTGAACTCACAGTCAGAGGAGCAGCTTCAGTAAATGTCAGAATAGCTGTTAAATTGTTAATGTTAAGCTGAAGATATATAAATTAGGACTTTGATGCACAGTTTATTGTTTTGTAACTGAAGGAGCGGAGATGTAGAGACTGTAAAACCTTTGACTGCTGCAGTCCAACAGCTTCACAGCCTGTTCAGATCATCAACCGTGCAGCACCATCACGATCAAGACAAAAGGGCCAAAGATGATTATAAAATATTCGACAACTAAAAAAAAAAAAAATAGTCGATTGATATTCATTGTGAAGTCAGACTGTCCAGAGCGACTCATGGCATTAGACAGCGTTCCTAAGCTCTCACTAGCAGCCAAAATCCAAAGTCTTTACTCTGTTGCATCAAAAGAACAGTGAATAGGTGAAGACGCATCATGTAAATGTTTGCTGTAGTGCTCAACAAACGACTAATCTGTGATAAATATCTTCTCAGTTGTCGAATGTTCTAAAAGTGAAATTGGCAGCCACCTCTGCTGTGACCCGGAGGGACCGAGACGCTGTAAAGGAAGAGGACAAACTAAAGCTTATTACAGAGACACACTCGGGGATCTGCCTTTCTTCTAAGACCAGATTTAGGGCAGTGAGTTGCCATAGAGACAGCAGCGCCCCGCTGTGTGGCGCTCTCATGTTCCTTTTGTCTGCCAGGTACATAACATGGAAATTAATATAATGACTTTAAACACCTCGTTTAGTCAGCCGGCAGCCTGTGTGTGTGTGTGTGTGTGTGTGTGCGCAGCGAGCTGATGTGCGGCTTCACGGGTTCTCAGAGGGAAGTTTTTCGCTTTTATTTCTCTCACATGATTTTGCTGATCATGTAGCCTTGATTTAAAAATGTTTAATTGAACCTGTAACTTCAACCAGAAACTGTATTAGAGATCTGAATTTTACCATAAAAAATACAGTGTTGAGCCGAAAGGTCTGGAAGGCAATTTCTGCTGCAAAAGGAGAAAAAAATGAAATGTTTTGAATGACAAAAATAAACAAACTTCTGTGATACTGACTTAACGTTATGACACTGAGGGCATTTACAAACCTGTGGAGACTCTGGTTTGTTCACTCCCTTTGGGCCGAGCTGATCACATTAGTCACACTCAGATGCAAATCACACAGAGAAAGATTGTGTTCCAGTCACAAAGCAGTGCTACAGCGGGTTGTTTTTGGTAGGAATGTCATCTACCTTGAAGTGTCCCAACTATAATGCGGTCACTATCCATCCATCCATTATCTATAGACCGCTTAATCCTCACTGGGGTCGTGGGGGACTAGAGCCTATCCCAGCTAACTTAGGACAAAGGCAGGGGACACCGAGTCACCTTGCAGCCCATGCGTACACTATCATGAGCAAAATCAATTGGTGCCATCAGCCAGCCAGACAATTCTAAGATGTATAACCCCAAACAAACAATTAAGTAGCTTCCTTGATATTTTGGCACCTTTAGGACCCTCTTCTTGGGTTTACTTCCTTGCTCCTGCCCCAGACACATCTAACCAATCAGCAGAGCGGACAGTCGAATGTGGCTTTAAGTGATGCAGTTCTGTTGACTTTCATTTTTCTGTGTATGTGTGTGAGCTGACACCAAACCAGGGACAAAGCACAAAAGCTTTCATACCTCATGAGGCCCAGAGCAGACAAACAGTAGGTTAGAAAACACTCCCATCTTTTGACTCACCTCATAAGTTTAACTAAAATTCTGACTTTGTGTGTTATGCAGAACTAAGACAACAACCTGTTACTCAATGATGGCATGCAGAAGAGTGCAGTGTGCGCTATTTTAATTTTTTTACACCAAAATGAATGGATTTAATTGTGAAGTTGATGTGAGGTCAGCCCGAGTTTCATGTTAAAACTTACCATCAAATTTGTTAGAATTTTAAATATACTGATTTTAACTTTTGACCTGTCGTTTGTCGTACAACGTGATGAGCTGCTACACTTCGTAAGTCAGCCGCCTAGTAGATCTACATTTATTATTACATATTATTATTACCATTAATTCTCTGACACAAGTTTCTTAAATACGATTTTCTGCTTTTTGGGGGTTTATAAATTAATGTCTTTCGTTATTGGATTGTTGTTCCAGGATTTTGAAAATGCTGCTGAGCTCTCAGGACATAGATTTTTCTTTTGGCATTTTATAGACGAAATGATCAACTGGCAAATCAACAAAATTGTCGTATTAATCGATTACACAATATTTCGTGGTTGTGGCCCTCGTCATCACTCTCTTAGAGGGTGTCAGAGTAATTACACTAATGTTGTTGAATTAATGTGGTCATAATTTATTAATGTTATGTGTTCTAATGAAGATTGAATTGAAAACCAGTCTCATCATGATCAGCCGTGAAAGATTTGCGACATTTTCTTTTCAGACAGTCACAAATTTCCAACAGCGTGTGTGAAAGCCAAATGAAGCACTGACCAAGTGCACACGTCATTTAACAGTGGAGCTCAGTTGCAGCTAAGAGTGAACAAAGATGGCCTTACTTTTACTGTCTGCTAAAGGTCTCTGATTAGCATCTCTCATTATTAATGCCATCCTATTTTGGGGAACCTGAACAAGTCTTATCTTTGTAACCAATACTCACTTTCATGAAATGATGCCTTCGGATCAGGTGTCCACTTTATTTCCTTCTTAAGACATTCATCCCTTTGCATTTCCCTCTTATAGGGTTACCACTCTGCATCTCCCCTGCTATTTTGTAAGAGGGTTTTGGCCTGCAGATCTGGATTTGCTGTGAATTATTTACAGGAGAAGTTTATTTGTAGGGGCTGATGGGCGTACCTCATTACCTGATAGTCTCTGTCCTGGTTGGCTTTGACGGACATATGTCACTGTACTTCAATGACTGTAGTGTTATCGAGGAAACTGAACACTTTCTAGGAGTGGAAGTCCCTTGGGCTGCATCTCCTCTCGTATCGAAGCCGTTTAGTCATCCTATAGGTCAGCTTTTCCGTTGCGCTGGGAGCTCTCAGCACCCTGACTTCTCCTTAAGGAGGTGGAGACGATGATGGAAACCTCAGCGGTCGTCAGGCTGCGGTACGAGGAGCTGATGTTTTACGCAGCCTGTGTTTGTAACTGCTGGTCTGTGTGTCTGTGTGTTTGTGTGTGTCTGGAAGGCAGAGTGTTTAGGAGGGGAGGAGGAGGAGGCGGCGGCGGCGGCATGCGTATGGGCAGCAGCTGGAGGTGGCAGCTCTCCCGGGCCATGCGACTCGCAATGCGCTGGTGCCGGCTGTGCCGCCTGCAGAGGGGAGGCCGAGGCGGCGGCAGCAGCAGCAAACCGTGGATCAGCGGCAGGTTGTTGGAGCTGTGGAGCTACAGCAAGCTGCTGCTGCAGTCGCTTTATTACAACAGTCTCACCAACTTTGACACTCTGCTGGACTGTGCGTTCGAACCCGTCTACTGGATTGTGGATAACGTGACTCGCTGGTTTGGAGTGGTATGCTCTCTTCTCTCCTCTTTTATTTCTACACTCCTCTCTGCTTTCCTTACTCATGCCCCTCTTCTCTGTGTCAGGTGTTTGTCTGTCTCGTCACCCTTCTGACGTCCTCGGTTGTGGTCATCGTCTACCTGTTTGTCCTACCCACAATCCTCAGCAGTTACCCTGTGCACTGGATTGTCTGGCACCTCTGCTGCGGCCACTGGCTTCTCGTCATGGTGGTCTTCCATTACTACAAGGCCACCACCACCTCACCGGGACACCCGCCAAAGGTACCAACTCCTCACAGGCCGACAAGTATTGTGACATATCAGCTTAAAACTATTTTAAGTGATAAGTCAAGACCTTTTCTACTGTAAACTAATGTGAAGCTACATGGTAGAACAGGCAGCAAGAAAGCTTTTGCTCCTTCAGTGTTTTATTTGGAGACAAAAGAGAAAGACCACTTACTTAAAGAGCCCATATTCTGCTTTTTTGGGGTTTTCCCTTTGTCATCAGTATGTGATATATCTGCTTTATTGTGCATGTAAAAGGTCTGCAAACTTGGAAAGCCCAAAGTCCACACAGAAGGGAGTTATTCTCTGTCACAGGAAACACTGCTCCTGACTTCTCTGTGCCGTCCAGCTTCCTCTTGTGTTACTTATTTACATCACCATGCTACTCATTTGCATAACACCTACCTTGTGGCTCATTTGGCTTCGCAGCCAGCCATTGTTTCCTCAGTAGAACTGCTTTTATCAGAGTCCCTATAACTTTAGATCTGGGGTTATGGTTTGTAACCAATGTTGACCAGTCAGAGCAGACTGGGCTTTTCAGGAGAGCTTTGTTAAACAGACAGGAGCTCAAACAGAGTGTTTGAGACAAAGGATGAGAGGAGGTGCTGCAGCAATGTACAGTATGGAAAAAATTGTTTTTTAAAATATTAAACTTGTGAACGTATTCTAGTAACCCCCCAAAAATAAAATTATGAATCAGTAAATGTGCATAATATGGGCTCTTTAACACTATATGGGTTTATTCATTTGTTGAAATTTCTGTCTGCTTCTTGAAGCCATGTGTTTAGTCTAACTTCTGTTCCATTAAGGCTGTAACATATCCTCTTTCTTTGGTTGCATTTTGTTTCTTTTAGGACAAAATTCACATCCCCTCTGTGTCCATCTGTAAGAAATGTATCACACCAAAACCACCGAGGACGCACCACTGCAGCATCTGCAACGTGTAAGATCATCAGGCTGTTCTATTGTTGGGGGAGGAAGTCAGTTTACTGTCTTTTTGGCCCATCGTAATAATGTTTGTCATGTTACAGGTGTGTTTTGAAGATGGACCACCACTGTCGTATCCTTCCAATCAGCAAAAACCAAGAGGAGAATGCATGACAACGAATGTTATATTGTTTACTTTTTAAACGTTGTGTGCTTTGTGCTGTTCCACTCATTGTACGTGTTGAACTGAACATGTTTCCAGCCTGGTTGAACAACTGTGTCGGCCATTTCAATCATCGCTACTTCTACTCGTTCTGCGTCTACATGACTCTGGGCTGCATCTACTGCAGCATCAGCAGCAGGGACTTGTTTCTGGAGGCCTACAATGCTATAGAGGTGAGGCTCCATGACTGTCACAAAGAAGGATTTTAACTTTTGCTACTACTTTCGGTGCAAAAAGATTTTTCTCTTTCACCTCCAGGCTAAACTCTGCCAGTCTAGATGGACTCAAACTGGGCTCATCGGCACTTTCCATGATGTTCACGCTAATGAAACCAGTTTAGTTGAGGAGCTATGATGAAATGTCTTCAACAGCAGCACCTGTCAGACATAGTAAGAAGGTAGAATTTGAGCTCAGGTGGCAAATGACGGCCGAAACAGGAAACCTGAAAACGATCTATGTTCGTCCTCTGCTCTCATATTTACCTCTGATTAAGTGCTCCAGCTGGTAAACAAACAACTTTCGGCTTTGGATGCTAATTAGGTTTAAAGTTTGGATGACGTCTGTGTCCAAAGATCACCGTGTACGAACAGGATCGAGCTCAGTCAAGTTGTAACTTACTCATATTGTATGGAATGTTTTGATGCTGAGCCAAAATGAGCTGGAAAAGCAACGAGCTGAACCATGTGTGGGAGACATCTGAGAGTGAAGTAACATTATTTATGTTATTATAATTAGGGATCAAGTTGTTTTTGCCTTCAATCAGATCTGAGTCATTTAATATTTAGTGTCTGCTAAGATACTAAGTCCCAACCTGATCCCATTTTTGTAGATAATACGCACTGCAAGTACATTAAAGTTATTAAAATCAGCCAAATGTATGTCCATGACCACTGAATCTGCAGTGCATTATGGAAAAAATTGCATTCCTTCGTTCCAGTTGTTACTTAATGTTATGTGGGTGATCACAGACTGTGTTGTGCGGCTCCAGTAGGATACCGTCTGAAATGTCGTGATGTTTCAGTGTACTGTGGCTCCACAGGCTCCAAAAGACACTGAAAACCTGTATTCTCTACACGCAAGTCAGAACATGTAGTTTAGCTGCAGTACCTGGTTCTTGTTCTATACACTCTGTCTGATACTGTAGCAATATAAAGAGGCAGTCACTCGGACTATGGGCAGTTCCATTTTAGCTAATGGTAAATGGTCTGCACTTAAATAGCGCTCTTCTACCTTAGTGGTACTCAAAGCGCTTTACAATGTTTTCTCATCCTCTGAGACCTGTGTGGCAAAACAAATGATCAGGATCAGTTTGGTGCTGATACTGATCACTTAGAAAAACCCCTTGAAGGGCCTTGTTCCTGGTCTGGAACATCATTTTATGACATCTGTAAATATCCTTTTATAAAATTTGACTACAGATTGACACCATCTGTCCTGTGTCCTTCAGACTTACTACCAGACCCCTCCTCCAGACTACACCTTCAGAGAAACCACTGCTCATAAGAGCATCATCTTCCTCTGGGTGCTAACCAGGTGAGCAACACCTTTGTTTCATAAAGTTGACAACATCATACAGACGGCTCAGGTTGTAATGTGTCCTCGTGTCGTCCCTGCAGCTCAGTGGCAGTGGCTCTGGGAGGACTCACCTTGTGGCATAGCATGCTCATCAGCAGAGGAGAGACCAGCGTGGAGCGACACATCAACCGCAAAGAGGCCAAGAGACTGAGGGAGAAGGACAAGGTAGGTACATCCTTGTACAAAATCAAGTGGCTTATACTGCACATACATACATGCTGCAGTATAACACATAGGAAGTGTTTCTGCTTCATGACTAAGATGGAGGAGAAGCTTCTGAAGAGCTCTGAATGCAGGGTTTGAAATGAGTCATTGGAATGTAGCAGTTTAACACATGGTATACACACATGGTGGACTATGGAAAATTTCCCCATTAAAATATCTATAAAAAAAAACAAAAAACAACAACAAAACCAGTGTCATGTGTTGTGTTGACTTGGTACTGAAGTCATTCCAAACGCATCAATAGCAACAATATTAAAATTGCTCACGGTCAGTGTCGTTAAATCCCTTTTGCCTGCTGTAGCCGAAACACCGAATGATTCATCAGAGTGCTGAAACAATGAAAACTCAACACAGCATCTAAGAACTCCAGAAACCTTTGGAAAACCCTGCGCTCTGTGACTGCCACTAATACTGAACAGAACACACGAAGAAGCCCATTTTAATACAGAAACTTCAATAGAATCAACTCTCTGTGCAAAGTGTCACATATATATTTAGAGAATGCAACAATGGCCGTCACCGTTTCTTCTCTTCCATCGCAGGTGTTCAGAAATCCATATCATCACGGTAAAATGAACAACTTGAAGTTACTGTTTGGTGTGGAGAAAAGGAGGTGAGTTCAGCCCCTGATTCAGATCTGAGCTTCCTGAATTATCAAACTTAGAGACAGATGAACAGGAGTTATCGTCGACCTCCGAGATTCTTCAGCTTCATTTGGAAATAGAACAGAGTCTGATTGAAGTCTGCAGTCTGGGTCGTGTGCTCAGCATGAGTCTAACATCAGAGAAACTTATTAGAAGTCTGCGTGATGCTCTGATAATGTGTTCTGAGTTTGTGGCCCCACTGAAAATTGTTCCTAACCACACAGACAATGTCAAATGTTAATAAGAATTACAGCATGTATTCATTTCTGATTTTAAATAGTGAACAAATAAGCAGTATTCTTTGCTCTGAACCGCTGACAGCTTCCCACTAGTGTAAATGAACTGACCATGCAAATGACCTGAGCTTGTTTTAGATAAATAGCTTAGATGTGAAACCACAGACACACACTGTAGATGTGGAATATTTTTGTGACTTTGTGGCTGTGAACTCTTAGTAACTATAGCACTATAATAAACTAAACACACAATGTCCACAAGTCAGCGCGTCACAGCTCAGTCTGTTCATGTTTTCAACTGTTGTTTTCTGACATGTTTATGAGTTTAGAAACACATTTAAGAATGTTCTGGGACCAATTTTGATGGGACCAAGATATGTCAAGTCTTCAGATCTGAGCTCAGTTAGTCGTTTGTCATAAAGACTTTTTTAGAGCATCAGCAGCTGATGATTGTTGTCGCCAAAAGAAGACATACCCCTTCACCTTTGCACTAGATAGAAATAGAACACACTGGTGGCCACCTTCTTGTAGGAAAGGACACACTACAGTTGTTGTTCTGAGCGTTTGTCATTTTGTTGTTGTCTTTTCATTCACTAGATAGACCAGGTGTCTACTTGGATGTCAGTGATGTTTAATCTAACTCTTGTCTGTCTGTGACTAAATTCTCTCTTCATGTACGGTTTGTCGATTCAAAACTTTGTTTTTCAGCCACATTTCAGCTCATTTATTCTTCTGCTCCTCAGTCACTGGTTCACTCGGGTCCTCTTGCCCTCCAGCCATCTTCCCAGTGGAGACGGCATCATGTGGGAGTGCACCTTCTCCAGGAGAGACCCCATGGCCATCTGAGGTCCAGCCTTAAATTCCTCTACCACATCAAAAACCTTAAATCTGCATTTAGACTACAAGCAACATGGTGGATGTGTCGCAGCGAGAAGCTCCATCAGTTTCAGTCTGCTACACAAAGAAAAATATGTTTTTACACAAATCAGGAGCTGCACTAATCCAAAGTGAGGAGCACATGGAAGACACTACTGACGAAACTTCTTATGATCCTTTCCACCTGTCAGCCTTGCACAAGAGGTCTGACGTGAGACCGCAACGATGCTGACTGATTGGATTTCTGGGTGCTGCTGGTCAGCATCCTCCTCCAGCATAAACCCAACCATTAGTCAAGACACGACTAAGAATTGTACATTTCTTGGACTGAAAATCCACACAACAGACTCTTTCTTAAAAGTGTGTGAGATGGATGGATGAAAACACTGTAGGTTGCGGGTACAGCGCATTAAAGGTGCTTTGTGTTGCATTTTTCAAACATCAAATCAGCACATTGTAAACTGATACTTTGATATGATTAATAGCTGCCGTCTTACTCCAGTTGTGTTGTTAATGTGATCAAATTAATACTATATTTCCCTGAAACTCTGCTTCTTTACTGCAGGTGTTTCCTATCTTTGCCTTTAAGTGTTTTGTTTTCCATTTGGAAACAACTTTATTCTATCAACCTTATTTCCCTGATAGGAGCACCACTCTCTTGTTAATTCGTGCTGTAAAACGGTCCAGCAGATCTAAATCTGACTTGTGGGCTGGAGACGTAAAAAGAAAAGACTGGCTGTCTTGTCAGAGAAGCTCTCCTGTGTTTACACTGCAGTAATGTGCCAGCATGAATGTGCTCATGATTCATTGATGATAAAAGTGCAAAACACAGCACCAATAACATCTGTACTGATCAGTGGCTCAGTGTTCAGTCAGCGACCTGAGCCTGTTTATTCGAAAGGTCTTTAAGCTTTTATTGTATAATTTGTGTATAATGACTGTTTGTGTCTTAAATATCATGAGATGAAAACGTAATTTCAATATTAATTTCTGATTTGTTTGATAGGTGTCCTGTGATTATTTCAATAACTCTCTGAAATCTTATGTTTACTACCCTCGATGTTTACACCTTCAGTTTAACTGTTGTGTGTTTTGAAAGCGTGTGCTGATGAGATTGATTTTGAAACTGGTCTGGGCTTGTGTTCTGGTGCCAAAGAGCGAAAAACCAAGAGTTTGATTCACTTTTCTTCAACTTCTGACTTGAATCTTTTGCTTGTTCAACAATTTAAAGGTGGAGTCTGTGGTTCTGTAGAAAGATTGTTGAGCTCGTTCGCATGTTCAAGGTAAATACTTTCAATTAATCAGTGGTATTAATAGCAGAATAATGTGTGGATCGGTTTGAGATCCTGTGTTTGTTCCATTTACAGAGCGAGGGCTGTGAATGTATATTGGGTTTCCATCTATACTAAACAGACAGCTAGCGGGCGTGAGGAGATATTCACTGACTGACAAAGTGTATTGCAATAGAATCACTGACTCCACTTTTAAGAAAATGGAAAAAACCCACACAACACCCAATTTCTTACCTTCAACATTTCATTTTTGGATGCTGGTAAAAAAAGTTGTTGTGTGCCTTGTTTGGATCTTCAGCCTTGAAATTGAGCCTCTATAAATAAGTAAATCAGGCACTGTGAAATGTAATTCTGTATTTTTAATTAAGATTTTTCACTGCTACGTGTTCACATCAGTGACTTCATGATGGATGAGTTGGATGTGTAGTTGCCATAGAAACATGACGTCCACCTATGATATCATTTGTAATCAAAAGGAGCTGTGCTCTGGTTTGAATTTTCTTTTTAAAATAAAACAAGTTTTTACAATTGTTTGTCATGTTTCCATTTGCAGGTGAAAACATGTGAAATGACGTCAGGAGCTTTGTGTGTAAATTACAAAGAAAAGTTTTAATGACATCTTAAGTTAGACATATCATATATTGTCTTATTTCCTTGGCATAAGTTGATGTGAGGTCCAAAGTCAGCCAACCTTTTCTGCAATGACGTAACATTAACTATGACACAGCGTCAATATTTGTTCAAATACAAGGCGGGTGTTTGACAGACTGTTCACATAACTTACAATCTTAATGCAAAGTACATTTACCTAAACAGATATTTAATTATGTAAAATGTATCCTAAAATTTCACTCGTGTCAGCGGATACGTTCAGAAGTGCTCGTTACGCGAGGACAGTTGGCACATCCACGATCTCCCGAGAGATCCGAATCAAACAAACCAGCTGCTGTTGAGACTCTACAGCTCAGTTACACATTCATCAGATGAGGAGATAAAAGGCTCCGCTGGGTTCTGCTCTCATCCTGCTGCACATTGGATCTTTTCCAGCAGCCCAACATCTCAAAATGTTCACTTTTGTGCTCCGTTTGTCTTCTCTCCTCATACAGGAGCCGTGTGTCTTCATCTGACAGTATGTTAATGTGGTGCAGGCGTTATCAATGTAAGAACTGTACAGCTGCACTCAAGTTATTTAAAACTTCAGGTCTTAGAAGATCCAAACGTGTCTGGATGTAGGAAGAAAGAAAAAACTTGGTGTGTCATTTCATTATTTTGTTGGCTGATAGAGGATCAGCTGAGTCGTTCCAAACTAGTGTCCCTGATCTCATTTGTCATTGTATTGATTCTAATCACTCCTGTGGTGTTACTATAGCGACTGATGTGTCTCTTTTCACTGTAACCTGACTTGTGATTTTAAATGCACTTTAAATTTCCAGGTTTTGCACGTTCAGTACTTAAACATTTAACAACCAAAAATTCAGTTTCATGACATGTTTGCTCTGATATGTAGAGAGAAGGACGACAAACATGAAGCGTATTATATATCAACAAACAAGTCATTCTATTCTTTAACTTAGACTAACCAGGCTCCACTGGTTTATGTGGATTTAAGCCGACCGGCCCACATCCTCTCACTTGTGCGTTCATGAAAATACAGACAGTTAAAACAAAAACATTTCAGTGTAACGTGAAATCAGCTGAGGAGGGAGGAGTTCAGGAAGATTCAGGAGGTGAAGGGTGCTGAATTGTTAATCTGAGGAGGGGGAGCTGCTGAGTGAGTTACACAGCTTCAATACTTGGTTTCTGGTCCTGGAGGTTCCTCTGAATTTGGTTGTATTTGAGGTACAGAATCATCTTCCACCAGGACTTCCCAAGAGGAACCTGTGAGGTGGATAAGACGGAGACTCGCTGTTATGGAGAATAAACTAGAACCACACAGTAACATTTCACTCGGTTACATGTTAGAATGTCGAGATAAATTAAAGGAAACCCAACATGAAGTGTCTTAAGAAGGTGTTGAGCCACCGTGTGCTGCCAGAACAGTTGTAATACGACTTGGCATTGGTTCTCCAAGTCTGAACTCTGCTGGAGTAATTTGCCACCGATGTGTAGTCAGTTTATTATATAGCACAAAGTTAAACGTTGAACAAAATCTCCAACAGTAGCAGCTGATCCTCACCACTCTCCTCTTGCCAGGACAGCTTCGCTCCTCACCAACCTCTTCTTATCATCGAGCGGCTTCGCCAACGCTCGCAGCACTCGAGCCCGAAATGGCAGAACCTGAATTACAGAGCAAAAGAAGAAAAATATTCATCTCTGTTACAGTAACGTGTTGACATAATACTACAGCTAAAAGATATACAAAGGTCTGGGTAGTTTTGGGGAAAACTTGGTTAAGTCTAAAGATAAAAGACGTAAATACAACAATAGTCTGATTGGCAAGCCTCATGCAATTAAAAGGTCTACAGCAGTTCTCAGATCAGACTGGATATTGTATGTGTGACGGATTATCTATACAGCTTGGTAGAATGATTCTATCAGCTTCAGGGGGTGATGTATTTTTGGGGGGATGCTCATCGTACATGCTACAATACTGTACGCACGCAGCGCAGAGGGTCAGTAACCTGGTACTTTTCATTTGATGGAGCGTTCTCTTTAGAATTCAGCAAGGAACCGGCTAAGGTTTATTTTCTAAATATTTTTATTTATTTTTTTCTTAAGTTTCCTCAAAGCCTAATTACTTGATTGTGGGTGAAGTAGGAAGTGTTCATCAGCATTGAGAGTATTGAACAACTTGACAAAATTCTTCAAATTAAAAAACGCTCTGAGTTTTACCTCATGTACAGGGAAGTGAGAAAGGGCATGGATGCACCGCAGTGAGGCAATCCGAACGTTCTGCAAAGGAAAGAAACAAGACAGCATCAGGACCTCTTGTTAGCGTTCATGTTCATGTTAATGGTTTAGAATAAGCAGCTCCAACTAATTAAGATACACTGAAACAGGGAAAACAATAAATACTGTTTTATTGGCTTTTATATTTTGTTGCATTTTCAGGATGGACATCATGTATTTGTTGTATAATAGCCTTAACACCAGTAAGAACATTGTCCACAGTAACCATGACACTGCTGTCACTGGTCTTCATCCTGTACCGAGGCTGTCTTATAAAATCATCCCAGAACGAGCAGTTTTACTGTCTGTGTGTGCACTGATCTCTCACTGACCATGGCTGGGCTGCAGATGAGGGGAATCAGCCTGTTGACTAAAGCCTCCAGCTGCTGTACGAGAGCTGCTGGAGGGTTGATGAGGACGGGCTCCAGGCAGGACAGAGTGGACAGCTGGACACCCTCATCAGGACACGTCAAGGCCTCCAGCAGCAGAGAGAGCAGCTGCACAGGGACGAAAAACTTTACATTAGCACTAAACAAAGGCGAACACAAGTTTTTAAACGGTCACAGGCAGTAACTATGTTGAAACATCTGGTTACTAACAGTGAAGTCTTACTCACCGCTGGTAGTTCAGTGACTTGAACCTGCTTGGGCAGCTTATTGACGATATTGGACAGAGCCTTCAAATAGTTAGGCTTCTTGTCTGTGGAGACAATGGCAATACAAAGATTAAACAAAAAAATTACTACAAACTGCTATGCTCCCAGTAGACCAA